GCCTCCTAACTGCAGCAGGACTGGACACATGCTTAATAGCTTTGCTGGATGGGGGCCAGCATGTACCACACCTTGCAGGCTCACACTCCAGGTAACCGGGAGAGGGAACATCTACATGGAGTCAGCAGTCAGAAAGTAAGAAACAGAAACCACAAGCCACAAAGCTCACTAGAAGCCCAAGGAGGACCGATTTTACTATAAATATGACAGGAGGGACTGAATTTGTGAGCTGTATTGCCTCCACTGCAGAGGAAAAGAAGCTAAGACATATGCACCCTCTAATTACTGATATAGGATTAAAGGCTCCAAAAAAAATAATAAAAGAAACATAAAAATGTTCTTAACTGTATGAAGAAAATGAAAGAAACAGCAGAAACAGTCTTTGAAAACATGTCTGCCCATCACCAACAGATTGAATAATATAAATGGTTGCATGGTATTGGAAATTACTGCAGTGTTGCCACTTTAAAAGACATCCTTTCAAGAAATAATTGGCCAAAACCTATGCTGATAGATTAAATAACATTCCACCACTGAAAACCTCACAGCATCATGTATAAAGACTGCATGGTAAAGCATTTAAGTCAAGGAATAACATTAAGTTCCTTGTGAATCTTCAATCCTTTCACGCTCAGCTATATCATGGCACTGTTTTAGTGAGATAACTTTACATGGCCTGACACCTCAAGGGACTCTAAATATCATTTTATTACACAGCAGTCTTCAATAGTCAGGAGAGACTGCTTACTGCCAGAAATATTGCAAAAAGAGAAAAGAAATGGAGTTCACACCCCTACAGTTTGCAGAGAAAGCAGCATAACTTGATGCATGATACCCATAGACATTCAGTATCAGAATCACTAGGATATCTTTATCTTGAATAATGTGGTGTGTTTAACTAATGTTTATAGATTTGTGACAGAATATCTCATCAAAGAGAGTGGAGAACAGATGAAAAGTAGAAGATTGAAATCAATTAGCATACATTATTTGCTTTAAAATAACTTGGTATCCACTTGGAATAGGAAAATAAATCCCACTCTAGCATTTACATTCTTTCTCCTACTTATCCTTAGCTTGGAAGAGCAGAAATGTCATGTGTACCCATACAGAAGAGTGGGTTTGCATGCAGCTGGCTACAGACTCCATTTTAAGGCAGGGAGCAGGCCCATTGGTTACATACTGGAGGGAATGGTGTTGCAGGGTAATGAAGCTGATCTTTTCAGCCCTAAGGAACTGGACCCCATCTGAGAACTCAACTTGGAGGTCTAGGGCAGTTTAGGACTTCACATTAACCTTGGAGCAGATCATGTAGCAGCACTGATCAAATTTGTCAGTCAGTTATGCTGTCGCAGGACTGCAGAGGGTGATTTTTTTACCCACTACTATTTTCATTTCAGAAGCTACTTCAGCTGATCATTCAAATGCTCAAATTTATATATGGGTTCTGCTGAAGTGCTGTATTTCACTTAAGATCTATATTAAGCCATATTACTTATTTGATCTCTGAAGCATTTTAAACGTTTGAAATGCATCAGTACCGGGAAAATATGAGATGCAGTGCGTGCCAAGTTCTTGGCCAAAGAATCTGAAGAGACCTGAAGAGTCCAAGCTGTCACCTCCTGCTTATACTGTGACTGGCAGGAAGGCAGCAAATTTGATTACCATGAGCCACATCAGGTTTGCAGAAGAGAATCTCCATTTGTTCACACATCCTAAGACATATGCAGCATCTCACACAGGGCCCATTAACAAAACTGCCCTCTGCAGTAAGTGCCAGAGTGAGAGAAAAAGAATGTCCTCTCTTCTGAGGATCTAAGTATTGCTCTTGCAGCCCACTGTCACAGCAGAACAGAGAGCACCAAGGTACAGGCCCTCTATTCTACCACTGCTTTTGGCTGTCAAAAGTTTAAATGTATAAAATTTTACAAACTAGAGTTTGTCATTTAAAATTTTATACCTAGGTGTCTGTGATTCATATTTTCCCCACTGGCTTCCAGGATGTAGAAGGAAACACTGAGAAGGTGTAATGCTAATGACTTGGCTCTCTCTTCTGCAGTTCTGTTCAAAGATCTGCCCCTACATGAGGTGCTATTTAGAGGTCCCTCTTCTGAAAGCTTGAGTCATTAAAACAAAATAATTTATCAGTGACAGAAATCCAAGAAGCAAAGGCTGCCTTTAGGTAAAGGTTTCAAGTAGCACTAACTTTTGAAGCCATTAAAATTACAATTACACTCTTCAAATGAAAAATATTCCAGCTGCAACCTTAAAGAAAGTAGCATGGCTTGATTGAAATAAGTTCTTTGTTTTGTCTAATTCACATTTTCAAACAAATATTAAGCCTCATATGCACTGGGAAATGCGAATACAACAACCTCCTATGGCTTGCCTTAACAATATGCATCCTCTTCAAATATTGTCAGTCATCTCCCCACTATAAAGCTATTAAATTTATGTGAAAGAAAGGTTTCCGTGCAGATACTCAAGACAGAGAAAGTTAAAGAGAGGAGGAGAAAAACAGCACAGAGACTTCAGAGCAAGGACAGAAGCAGGAAGCACATCCTCAAGTTAGCAGTAGCACACTTGGGGAACACCAGCCTACACATAATATGCCAGAGGATCCATTCCTTCCAATCTGGATGACTACTGACCTGCACACACTTCCAAGAACCACTGAAAAAAGTAATAGTGGAGAAGAAAAAGAGAAGAAAGCTCTGTTCTTTTAAAAAAAACTCACATGAGGGCAGCTGCTGACTGGAATGCACTGTTTCTTGCGACAATCTGTCTTGCCTTTCACACAAGCACAGATGGTGCAGTTCACAGAGGACCACATCTCTCCATCCTGCAAGAGAGAATATGATATAGTATCAGCTGGGATGGCAACAGGAAGCTATTTCAGCAATGTATCATTGCACAAGAAAGGATGACTTTCCCTGTTGGCACTGTGTCACTGTTTAGTCTAAATTATTTTGAGGTGTCTGTCCATGGCCAGCCAAATTAAAGACAAAAGATAAAAGGCAGCAGGGTTTCCTTCCCTTCGACCTTCTAGGACAGAAATTCATTTTTGCAAGACTAACCAAATCACATTTGCATTTTTTTTCTCAGCATCCTGATCATTTGCATTGCTTTCTCTCCATTATGTGTCTGAGATGTGGTCATACCTTCCACACATTTTCATTTAAGCTCACATAATTAGAAAAACGTGACTCATTGGGTTGAATGACAGCTTTAAGTTGTTGCACGTGAAAGTATTTGATTAAGATGTGACCATACAGCAAGTTTATTCCCAGATGCAGCATCATTTTGACTTAGGGCAGGAGTAGTCAAATAATGAATTCTAATTTAGATTACTTACAGCACTTTCACAGATACTTGATCTGCTAAACATCTGAAAATGTTTAGAAGAGATACAGTGCTGAAGTTCTCAAATGCAGAACAGGTAAGACGGTCTACATGTGGCTCTTAAAGTACTAGCTGCAGAGCAAAATATGCCTCATGGTGTGTTCTTACTCACTTGGGAAGGATTGCTTGTGGAACTGCCCGGGGTCCTTTTTACACAGTGCTGCATTTGCCAAGTGTGGTTCCTAAAACATTCTGTCTCACCCACTTGCAGTCTTGTGCTAACCCACTTAGAGCCAAAATGTGCATGTTTTCTGTTTACAGGACTGCTGTGAGGGAAGGGTGAGGATAGACCTGACAGGAACAGGCAGTCCAACCAGACAGCTGTGAACAATTATGTGCCCAGCTCAACACGATGTTCTGACCAGAGAGAAAAACAGACTAAATCTGAAATGCCAAACAGCCTAACTTATCCAGCATGGCAAGCTTGGTAAAAGGCTGTCTCTCCTTATCTTATGTTTCCAAATCACATTACGATTGCCTGGTGTTCCTGATACAGCACATGTTCTTGTGGGCCTCTAATGACCACTCTCCAAGCATCTGCAAAGATACCAGAATACATCACAGCTGACTGCATGCAGCTACCCTGATTTTTTTTTGTCTCATGGCTGTTTTTGCACAGGAATGCAAAATCTCTACCCGCGTTAGACCAAACAACTTCAACAGAGACATTGGATTTACTTTTTTGCACGCGAAGCCAGAAAAGGGTGTACTGTCTTGTTATTTTTTCTTACTCCATATAATACTTAGGAACATAATAAAACCTTCATAAGAAGCAGAATATTTTAGTTGGGTGCCTAAGAAGCAGGCATTTGTTCCTGAAGCACAATAGCACCAGTGTGAAAGTGCCAATCAGATGGAGTATAGTCTCAGCATACAGTAGGTTCACATGTAATTTCCAGAATAAACACTTCAGCTATGTACACAAAAGATGGAATAAATGGGAAGCAATTCTGGCTGAGCAAATCAAGTACTCACAAAGGATTTAACATTTAATCTGATTCAAGGGTCTCTCAATTCACAGATGGCCCACGAGGTGACAGAATCTTTTTCTGAGACAGTGTGAGAAGAGCCGCACTACTTGGAAAAACAAACAAGGTCTCAGCCACAGCAGAAGTATTCTGCAGGGAATCCCATGTGATTCAAAAACATTGGGTGAGAGTGCAGTAGGTAACAGTTATTATATGGCTAACCCAACATAAGATGTCAGGGGTGCTGTCCTTAGCAGGGAAGTGCAATGTAGCAAATCAAAATGAGTAACTTTCAGCCAAGTTGAACTTCTCAAACTTCCTGTTGGCTCAGCTATGGAAGAGACTCTTGGCTCAGAAGTTAATGCCTACATATCCCTCGGAATACCTCCTCCCTGAATATCAGTGTGTGCTTGGGAAAGTAGAGCTTTATTATCTCTGCCTTAAATTGTCTTACTTGTCACAAAACAGAAGCTTGAGGCTCTGTGTATGGAAAGAGACAGCATCACATCAAGGAGGAACTAATCTTTAACTGCTCTGTATCAACAGAATTTACACAAACTCAGAAAAAAAATAACAGATGGCAAATTTTGCAAAGTTTTGGCCCTGAGTTGTTTCACCATCAATCAGAATGGTGAGAATTCTGCTAAAAACCAAGCCACAATACTAAATCAAAATAAACTAATGCTGCTCAGCTATTAAAATGGCTTCTATTCTTGAGCCACACCTGAAACTTTACCTGGAAGATCTTATTGCCAAACTTGCACACTTTTACTTCCTCAGGAGAGATATATGAGACACACTCCTTGCAGCAGTGGTCTTTGTTTTTATTGCATTCACCAGGAAGTAAGCACCTCTTCTTACATATCACTGTTGAATCCTAGGTAGAAGGACAGAAGGAAATCATGAAACCATCACCAAGATGTCTATGCTCTTGTGTATCCTTTCCATAACATTTCTACTTGCTCAGTCATTGCATCCACCCAAGCTACAGTCCAGCTGCTTCAAATACGTCAGCTCAAGGAAAATAAAAATTATTTACTGGATTAAGGGAATTTTTCATGGTCTATGAAGCTAAAGCTCAGCTTGTACTTCTGTTGGCCTGCAAAACCTTACTGATTTGGTGACATTTTCATTTTTCATCCCAGGTACAGAAGTGCACGTGCACACAATCATGTTAGAGGAACTGAAAAAAAAAATCACTGCCCTTCAGCAGAGATGTGGTAATTCAGCATTTAGAAACCCCTTTTTACATAACCTGAGTGACTTAATTTTGCATCACAGTCAGGCATCATGTCTCAGCTCAGGAAGTCAGTAACTTTTTAAACTTTCCTAGCACAACTGCAAGAGCTCTTCAGATCAGACTCTCAGGGACCACACAAGACACCAAAGAACAGCAATATCAGGGCTTGGAGTTCCGCAGCCCTACAAATGACTGCTAAGGCAGACAACTGGCAGCACACAATACCAAAGCACTGTGGGCTTACCTTGCATGTACACATCGTGCAGTTGTCATAAATAAATGAGGACCCATTATCATATACGTTGCTGTGAAAGAGGCAGCTTCCAAATGGGAGGTCAAACACTTTCCTCTGCCCTGAGTATAAATAAACAGTAAAAGAAACACAATGTGGTTGAAAAGATGCCATACTGTCAACAAAAATAGTAGGGCTTATTGTCACCAGACCAAATTCATGTGCAATGTGTCATTTGCTATGTGTTTCCATTATGGTGTGAAAAAAAACCCAAACTTTTAACAGTTCTACTGTGGGAGGGAATATAAATATGATTTATGGCATGTTTATATTGGAAAGATCTTTCTTCTCCTTCTCGCCATAAAGTGCACATTGCAGCTAAAGGAATAAAAAGTAAGCACTGCAAACTCTTCAGGTAGGTACACTTACACTAGTTTAAGCAATCTTTAACTTAATGCAATAACTTATCAAATAAAGCAGCCTTAACTGGTTTTAGCATATTTACCTCAGGGCCTCACAGCAGCCAAACTAAATCAATTCAGTGACACTGATGAGAAAAAACCCTAGGTGTTGACCAGTCTCATTAAGATAGCTTGGTGCACTATGTTCACACAAGGTTGCAAGAAACACAAGCATTTGCATCATTTATGAACAGAATAAGGGCAACACAACACATTTAGCCTCCATAACCTATAAAATACTTGGTTTTCATGAGAGTGTGTACAGGGAAGACAGCATCAATATCAAATCCTTCCCAAAGTCCTGCAATCCTGCAAGAACTTTCAAATCCAACTCGCAACACACTGTGGTTCTGCACGCTTCTTTTAATCCTCAGCTCCTTTCCTAGTAGGCTATTTTAAACAAATGATTGTTATGATACATAACCATGAGTTCTTTACAAAAACCCACTATACTTATCTGCTTCTTTTGCATACCTTTCCTGTTTACCTTCAGTGGCAGCCAACTAATAAGTTCTTTTGTGAGTGGCTGCCCGTCTCCCAGCTTATCATTCCTAAGGTCTGATGTTAAGTAGGCATCAATTCCAAGGTAGGGAATGGCCACTACAAGTACATACAAGAAGTCACTAAGTACTAGGCCAATACTTTAGCACTCAAACCACCAGGTCTTGGTATACTATAATTCCTTTTCAATAATTCTTGATAAATGTAGAACACCTTAAAAAGAAAAAGGTTCCATTTTTCTCTGAGATATAAGCAAACTAAAGGATAAGCACAGAGAAAAATTCATTGGATTACCCTTGAGTTTTTACAAATCTAATGTTAAAATAACTCTTAAACAAAAGGTAGGAAATAATTGCTACTGTTCAGTTAGACACAGTTTTAATATCTCTCTCCTGCAAATTAGCCACCTCGGACTAATCTGTGCTTGCACAAACAGCCTTCCTTTTACTGAACGTGCATCTTTCTGAAAACGCTTAATTTCTCTTGCAAGACTGACATATGCAATCAGCTGAGGATGCTCAGTAGCTCTAAAAGGAACTGCTCTATATCCATGCACCACTTACAGGCAAAGTCTAGTCATAGCGTTGCCTGTAACAACACTTCTACTGCTTTATGTGAGGCCAGGACTTCAACCGCATAACTTATGTCAACAAGTGAACAAAAGTCCAGCTCTCATATACTCTTGCCGTGCCTTGCAAACCACCCAGTGCAATTCCGGGTGGCCAACCCTGTTCAAATAGTTGGTAAAAAACCACTGACAAGGGACCTACCACTTTAAAAGATGTGGTGGTGAAGATATTGGCTTAATAGTCGGCTTTCCTGGCTCATAACCACTAGTTAAACTAATAACTCAGGTCCCAGTAGAGTCCACGGCATTCTTCTAAGCTATATACGCTGAGTATCAGGAATTCAATTGCGGGGAGGTCCTCCACATGATACTTTAAAAATCATGCCTCAGCATCCCTGAAAATGTTTCTCTTTTCCAATTACCACATAGCGTGCTACATATCCCTTGGCTCTACCTCCACTACAAAACTTCCACAAATTCCCTGTGAACAGACATCATCTAATCACAGGTATGTGACATGCATTAGAGCCAAGTCCATATAAAATGAAAATCACTATTATTAGTGAACTCATTTACAGACACTTCTAAGCGAGGAAAAAAGAAAATTCCCCATGAAGCAGTCAAAAATTAAAGTTGGGTTTTGAATGTCTAGATTGAGGAGGGGAAGGTTCAGTTGGGAAAAACATGGGGTGGACAGGACAAGTGGAGTTTACAAAAGGAAAGGAAAAATGTAGTCAGCCAAAACAGAAGCTCAGTGTTCGGACTGTTCTCCATTTCATTACTCTACTGTATTACTCTCTGATGCTGCAGTTAAATATTCCAGGCAGATATTTATCTGTAGCACTTCTCAGTTAGCAAACAAATAAATAAGTACATTTTGGGTTTCAGGCAGTGAAAAATGTTCAGTATTATGCGAAGCTGGGACTCTCTATGGCTTGTTGCATCTCATGCCAGACATCTCTGTAGCCCTAACTTAGCCCAGGAAACAGACTCTGGCCAGTAGTAATGATATGGTCAAAAATAACAAAATGTTTCTGCTGAAGAACTGAGAGTTATCAGCTCCGAAAATTTTCCAAACCTAGTTATAACCTCATAGACCAAATTAGATAGTAGGATGTAAGTGCTCCTTGTTTATGAAATAGAGGGACACATGCTTTAGAACATTAATCTGTGGGATCTGTGAATACAGTAAGTGCAGAATAAGACTCTCAAAAGCTACTGCCTTCCTTGGCGTGACTTGGAAGAACTAGCCCTTCTAGGAGGCCTCTGACTTATTTCTTCAAAATGTGTTGGAAAGACATAATTGCAAATATTCCTGGATGAAACTGATTTCATCTTGAAAGGGCAACGATGAGGCAGACATCTGAGGCTCTGGCTTTTCTGACAACAGCTTCTAAGAATGCATTTTGAGTCCAGAATTTTCCTCTGACCTGCATTTCCTCAAAACCAAGAATGCAAATGCACACATGAATAAAAATATGAGAGGGTGAGACTTTTTTCTTGTGGTAAACTCCAATGAAACATCTCCTCCCACCTAAACCTCCTTTGTAAAACATGTTTAAAGAAGGTGGAAAACATCTCTGTATTTGTCTTTCTGAGTAAGCCAGCTGCTCTATGCTCAAATGCTCTTCGGCTGCTGCTTGTTTAGTACCTCCCATCACATCCCTACACACTGGTGCTGAGTACCTTTTTAAACCTGCAAATTAGCAACTCCGCTGAGCACTACCATCTCTTTCACCACCTAGAATTTACCAGTACTTTTAAATACTGGTATAAAAGACGTTATGCAGAAATATATCATATTCATTACAAAATTGCCAGGAGAAAACCCCACTCACCTAAGCATTTGGGGCAACACTGTCCAGTTTTTGAGGTGCTGAGGACATGATAGAATGGGGCAGACTTCTTGGATGCACTGTGTCCTGCCACCCTGAGGGAAAACAGGCTCAGTTAGGAAAAAAACAAAGCGGAACATCCAGTAGATACGCACACATCCACACAGACTTGTAACAAGCCCTGGCCAAAGCAGTATTTGCCAATAGAAATTTCTGCATGCATCAGGCATACAAGGAACTTGTACAAGTGTCCTTCAACGCTTGAAGAGACCTTGGATTCCTCATATTCTTTCATTCTCTCAAGCAATTAATGTAATACTTGAATCAATAGTGGCTTTCTATCTTGTTTTTTGGTGTGGGTATGAGAAAACCCAGGAGAATAACATCATTATCCACAAACCTTTTCAGATGTTCAAAAAAGTTATTAAGCAATTTTTAACATTATTCTTCAACTCCTGTGCCTTGCCCTTCTAGGCTTGTCTGGGACAGAGATTAAGTGTTGAAGCAAGATGAGAGCAGGTGTTCTTCCACTATGTCCATGACCTCAGAAATCAAATAAGCCAAAATCTCTTTAAGCACATTCTTCTTAGCCTCTGAGTCCAACTATGCAAACCCAAAAGGTCTGCTTTCTTCAGAGGACTGAAAACAAAGACTGCATACAAAATTTTGAGAAAGAATGTGGCAAAAAAATAATAAAAAAAAAAACAGGAAAAAAAACCCAACCTGGACTGGATATATTACAAAACCATAGAATAGAATCATAGAATGCATTGGGTTGGAAGGGACATCTAAAGGTCATCTAGTCCAACCCGTTGCAGTAAGCCAGGATATCTTTAAATAGATCAGGTGTATCCTGCTGTATCAATGAATGTAAGACAGAGAGAAGCAAAAAAACACAGCACAGACAAAAGCACAGAGTATATGCCTAAGATTAAGTCAGTCAAGAGCGATCCTTGCTCTCAGTCTGCTCTGTTAGCTGATTACTTCACCGTGCTTATAGAACACCATGTTTAGATCTGGACCCTCTACCAACATGTGCCCCATATGCTCATCAGAGGTCCAGGTTGTTAAACTTTACAAACCAGTCCACCTTTGTCTTAGCAAGAGAAGTCTGCCTTTTTCATCTAACTGCCCTGCCTTATTTATCAGTCAGAGCTGCAGGCTCAGCCTGACAATAAGCTTTGTGTTCCTGGATGCTGTAATGGAAGACTTATGAACAGTCTCCTCCCACCTACACACTTGATGCCTCTCAGGACTCCCTGAGGAAAAACAGAAAAAGCTGCTCACTTTGAAGAGCTCTGCGCCTGAAATGATGGCATTCCACTCCTAATAGCCTCAGTGAATCATGCACAAGCTTTTACACACAGCAGATCCACATATACACTATTTGATAGAAAATAACATACTGACTGTAGCCCCATTCTATAATAAGTTTTCAGGCACTGAAGTCTACCTGTCCCATGTGGCTACCAAAGCATCCTGAATGTACATGGCTAAGGTCTGCTCGTAATTCTTTCACTGCAGCATGCAAGAACACAGAGTTTATTGTAGACCAGAATGACTGCTCTAAATTAAGGGTCAGACCAGAAAACTTGACAAAATGAAATGAATTCTTCACGGATGTTCCTTATGACGCTCAGGGAATAGCTCTATAAGAAGAGACACAGGTGCAGAACAAAAAATAAAATAACAAAGAAGGGCTCTATGAAGCAATGCTATCATTCAGCCCAGGGAAAAAGACTAAGACAAAGTTCAAACGTCGGTGATAGTTCAGCAAATGGGAAAGTAGGGCATGGAGACCTCAGCCAGCTTTATGACAGGATCAGGGATAGATCCACGGAAGAAAACACAAAGCTCCAACACATGATAAGTGCAGGTTCTTTCTTGCAACCTTGCTTCTGTATTTAATATTCACATATCCTGTGCCTCTGCGGAACTGCTCTGGAGTCTTTCTTCCCTGACAGACTGAATCAAAGCTCAGACTTAGCACATTACTGAGACATTGCCTTTGCAGCCTGTTGTGCAGATATTTTTTAAATATAAAATGTCATGGATAATATTTCTTCATTTCAGCCTTTTGTTTACGGCTTCTTTTTACCTTTTGTTCTGGCCTTTCCTCTGTAAAAGATTAAGTTCATTTGCTTCTCTGTATCCCACCATTACTCCTGCTTCCAGCTGTAATACTGCTTTTTAACACCAAACTATTTTCTAATTTGCTGGTTTCCCAGATAGGCTCTTCCAGGCTTGAACATCATGTTAGGATGGCAAGTTCAAGAACAGTCTGAAACACATCAGCTTCTACCATTTAATGTAAGAACAATTCTATTTGCCCTACAGAGCTTAGAGAAATAGCTTGTTGGGCACCACACACTATTTCTAGTTTCTTAAAAGCCTCAGTCGTCACGATTCAGAACTCAAAAAGCATTCAGAACACCAGCTTTCAAAACAAGATTAGCTAGTGCTGCCAATGCTTTAAATTGCATGAAATAGAGCTGCATAGAAAAAAATAGTGCAACAAAAGTTCAGAAAAAAATCAAGCTAAAAAATAACTCCAGAGAGCGAAAAGATTGGCTTTGGATTGCCTAAGCCAGGATGGGAAGTGTACAATAAACATCTTGCCTCCTCCACCTCCCAGTAACATCTACAGTTTTTAGCTCACATTTCCCTGTTAAGCATAACATCTCCTAGACAGCCAGAATATTCTAGGTCCAAAGGAACACATTCCAGTGAAATCAAACCCGAACTGGAATCCAGAACAGACCAATAAAGTACAAATTACCTCTGCTTTCTGTGATAAATGCTGTTTGAGAGCTAGGCCAGTAAATCCTTGAGCGATAGTTACGTGAAGCCTTGGGGATGCTTGCTGCAGTCCACAGTCCTCTGGAGGCAACAGATTTTGTAAGAAATCCAGAGTCTACAATGAAAAGATTCACTTCCTACCTCAGAAAGAAGGGAAGGACAAAGTAGCACTTTCTAATCCTCCCACGAGACATATGTCTTTGAGAAAGACAATGAGCGTTTCCTAAAATGAAAGCATGGAGCTCTTCTAGCTGCCCTTTTATCCACTTCTGCTAAGCTGCCACCTCAACTATGATGCTTCACTGTTCAATAAGGACACAAGAAACTTGACAGAGTTGAGAGACGCACCCATCCAGGCTGTGGATGATTTTGCTGGAGACACCAGATGAAGGACAGAGTGCAGTTTCTGGGTAGGCTACCCACATGCCTGGTTTACAGCATGTAGGCAGTCTGTGTGCTAGAACAGATGGAGAGAAAAATGCTTGCAGAAAAAAATGGCTTCTCAAAAACTCCCCAAAGACTGGGAGCCTGCTGCAATTAATCTCCAGGAACCTTGGGCTTCATCTACCATGAAGCCAAGACAAGTAACCACCAAGAGCAGAGCTGCCCTTGTCATAAGCAGATTTTGAAAGCACTCATGAAATCCCAGGAGGACTCCCAACTTGTTTGCTACTGATAACGAGCATGTCTAATCTTAATAATATTTTATATACACATTATTTAATGTTAAAAGTTAACTTTAGTATTACCAAGAACCATGCTTCTTGCAGGCGTCTTAAGTTCCATTTCACTTTCAGGCTTTATCTCTGTGCTTTAGTGAAGCTATAAATCATCCGAACAGGCTTCTCCCTAGTTTTGCCCTATGTTCACCTTGTGCTTGAAAGACTTCACTAATCCTCCAACACAAGTAAAATTTCCATTGATTTTTTCAGAATATTTTGTTTAAATGCTGGCATTAGGATTCAATCCATAGTGAATTGTAAGCATTTATTTTTAACATTCATTCTAGAAGTGTGAAAAGTTTCATTTGCTAACAGTAAGGCTATCCTTGCAGAGAAAAAAAAAATATAAAGAAATTTCAAAATTACATTTCTTTCAGCTCCAGGATATGTATTCCAGACATTTAGAGGGGAATTAGATGCACACTGTAGCCTCAGCAGGGGTTGCTGTAAGAACTAAGACAGATGTTTAAGGTTGTCTCCATCTACGAATAAAGATTTTATGTCACCAGCACGAAACATATCTTTGAAAGTTCAACAAGGTCACTACTGTGCAAGTCTGCCCCATGCTAGTGGCAAGACAAGTGAAATAAACACACAGCTGTAAGGCTGTTTGTCTTCAACCACTCCAGTATGGTGCAGGTGACTTTAGCCACCATGAACATAACAAGAGACACGGCCAACAGCCCAGATGAAGTGCCCTCTACACAAACACACACAGCATGGGCAACAAACAGGAAGAGTTATGGTGGGACAGCTCAAATGACTGGAAGGTGGTCATGGATGGCTCTGTCCTTTTTAGGAAAGACAGGCCAACAAGGCGAGGTGGTGGAGTTGCTCTTTACGTGAGAGAGCAACTGGAATGTATCGAGTTCTGTCCAGGGGCAGATCGGGGCAAGTTGAGAGTTTCTGGGTGAGAATTAAGGGGCAGGCTAGCATAGGTGATGCTGGGGTGGGTATCTATGACAGATCACCTGATCAGGCTGAGGAAGTTGAAGAGGCCTTTTACAAGCAGCTGACAGCAACCTCTCAGTCACAGGCCTTGCTTCTTGTGGGGATTTTCAACTACCCAGATATTTGTTGGAAGGCCTACACAGCCAGCCATCCTCAGTCCAGGAGGTTCTTCTAGTGCATCAGTGACAACTTCTCGATGCAAATGGTGGATGAGCCAACTGGGAATGCTGCTGGATCTTGTGCTCACTGACAAGGAGGGTCTAGTTGAAGCAGTGAAGGTTGAGGGCAGCCATGGCTGCAGTGACCATGAGATGG